GAGAAAAAGAGAAGAAAAGAAAGGGATAGAAAACATAAAAGAAAAGAAAATTCTTTCCTCAAGAAAGTTTATTATTTTGTATATGCTACTTACATGATTCAGTATTCTTTATGTGCTCGACGATGTACAGTTTTATTCATTGTCTTTGCATATTGATAAGTAGCAAATCAGAATATCAGAAAAGAATGCAGAATATTATCAAAGAATAGAGTGAGAAAAGGAAATCAGAACATGAGTAACGAAGAAAACACAGTAGTGCAGTTTGGTTTAGTTACTGAACAATTAGTGCTCACTCCGTTATTTTACTATTTTGCAGGTACTAGATGATTTACAACCGGGTGGGACATCAAGAAGCGGAGGAGTTTGACAGCACTATTTTGATTACTTTGTGCTTACTAAAGTATATTAGTATTTTGTGCATATATTTATATGAATTAAAATTAGAATTTTCGGATTTTACATTATGTATATATATTTATAAAAGTTCTTTACCGGATTTTATCATATATTTCTCAAAGAATTACTAGCTATATAGTATATTACAGTTTGCATGAGTGAACTGGGTGTTTTGTAAATGTTAACAAATATAAGGTTAATTTGGAACAAATGCTCAACGGTTTAGGGGCAGCATGGGACAAAATTGTATTATTATTAGGGGTAAGTTTTAATAAACAACCAACCCCCNACCATAAGTAGTTGAGACCTATTAATAATAGAAAGCTAGAGAGATTATCACTAAGGGTGTGTTTCGTCCGATAATATTATATTATTAAAAATATTATATTAATTAAAAGATAAATTATCTTAAAAGTTAATGAGAATATTTAAAAACATGTGTTGAGTTATGTTGAAAAAAAATTAGTAGGTGTATTATATTGATAAGTTTGGTTGAGAGAAATAAATTGGTAGGTATGTATTATGTAATATAGATTATTAAATTATTTTTATTTTTAAATATTAATATAATATTATTTTTATTATTATTTTTTGAATAATTTCTTTTAATCCTCTATATTTGAGATTTTGCTAAAGTACCACAACAACATAAAAATTTAATTTCTAATAAAATCACCCCACCCACCCTAAGCCATAACCGCTCCCTGATGATAGTGATAGGAGCGATGCACAACCGATTGAATCTAGTTGATGGTGCGTCGATTTGGCCATCGTTAACTGCTTAAATCAACGGATCTAGCTAAAAACGGTCAGATTAGCACACGACCAACTAGTTTGAACCAGTCGTGCACTGTTTTGGCATCGGTGATGGTGGCCAGATCCCGTCACCAGTCTTGGGTAATTTTTGTCAAGTTCAAGGGTATTTATGTCCTAAAAATTTTGTTTATAAGGATAAAATAGTCCATAAATATTTTTTGTAAATTGTTTTTAACAAGCATTATTGTCCAAAAATTTTAATAGTTAAAAGTAAAATTGTACTAAAATTAATATTACAAAGTACTCTTAAAATACCTAAGAAAATAGTGATATCCAAATTACCTCCTATATAACCAACTGTAATTACTATTGGTTTTGAAAGATTATCTGAATCTTATATTATTTGTTAATCAAATATGGTAATCTAAGTAATATAAGATGACTTACCTCATTATCGGGATAACACCCAACCAAATGCCTCCTAAGGTCAAAATTATGTTTATTTTTAAAAGAGTAATGCTACAGTTACCGAAAGTAATATACCGAAAATATATACCGAATGACGTGGCACAATCATGACTGTCGATTAATATTAAGTTATAATTAATGAACGGTTAGGATTTCATCACATCATTTGATATATACTTTTGGACTTTCGATGGCTCTATCGTTTCCGTTTTTAAAATCTTAATCATAAAACCTTAAACTAAAAAATTATAAAATAAAAGGGAAAAAGTTTGCCCCTCCCATTATCTATCCTAAGATGAAAAGAAAAATTAAGTTACATGTTGATGAGGCATAAAAAAGATATTCTCGTAATTTTGAGGAGTCGTGAACTTAAGGCCCCACAAATTGCACCCCTAAATGAAATAAGTATAAAACTAAGCCACTAGTATCACCAAGCTGTGTTAGATGAACACTTTGACACATGGAGCGGCACTGTCAAACACCAAAGAAATGCAGAAACATGTGATACATTTGCCTGAGCATACTAAGAGCTCCTAATGTCACCATTAGAAAGTGGCAGAGACAATTGAACAAGCATGAAGTAATTGACACATTGATATCGCTCTTTGATTGTGTAATGGAAAAAGTTCCTTGCATAACTACACAAACTGAAAAAACAAACTCATGAAGATGCTCCGATAAACTATTATCAATTACCTCATCAGCAATCATGGCAATAAGTGCTGAGTTGTTAGTACGGATTTGAGCCTTCCAGCCATTTAAATTTATATAATTGAACTGCCAGAAGAAAACCAGAAAACAAAAAAATCAGAAACAAACAGGAAATCTTAGAGTAAAAGAAAAATATTTAAATGATATAATCATGAGATCTGAATCCCTACCTCCAATATTACCTAGACAGAGATTTACTTAAACAAACCACTTAAATCTTTTCACTAAAACTTTATTCATTCTTTCCGTGACCAAAAGTATCTAGCAGCTAATAAGTTAAGTTACTAAGTAAACAGACTGAAATCCAAATAGTGATATCACAACATGCATAAACAAATAAATAAATGTGCTCAATACCAGAAACTTAAATATGAAAACTCCACAAACAAGTTCATCTCAACTTCATACATACCCAATCTTCCATTGTTTCATATGAAAATTCCGTCATTTGAAACCTCTAAAAGGGTCAAAACAACATCATAAAGTTTAGTTGTACTATATTCAAGCAAAAAAACTACTAACCCACCTTATAAAAACGCTTCTAAATCCTGAAATCCTCATATCTATATCTTATGATTAGCATCGATTATAAACATATAAAGTGCAATTCTTTCCCGTAATAACGAAAAAAAATCAAAATCCCAAAATGAGTCACTCAGAAGACGATCATGCTCCAGATTCACTATAATAACACATCTTTGAAGCTCAAATCATGGCACAATAATTAAACAAAAACTGAATTGGATTGTCGAAGTTTTCAGAAAGGAAAAGCACAAACCTGACAAGTTGTTCTCGGTCTTTCAATTCTCGATCCAAAGTTGCAGAAGGGATCAAATTGTGAAGGTTCAGCAGCCATATGGTGGATTTGTGCGTTCATATGACCCGAATACGAAATGATCGGATTTTGATCGATCCAGCCCAATTGAATCTATCTAGTTCAATAAGTCCAGCCCATTTTTTCTTCTGTGAAAACATTTTTCTTTAAATATAGATGAAAACGCTTTTTTATTTTTTATTTTTACGATAGAGTATCAGGACTAGTTTATTATATTTCAATTAATCTTTTACAAATTTTGTCAAATTAGTTGTTAATAAACAAACCAACATTGAGGAACTATAACATCTATGTTATTGCATGTAAGTTGTTTCTTCACATATTCAAACTCGCAATGAGATAGACGGTAAGAATTTAGTTATGTTTAGGATTTTACGAATTATCATTACGTATAAATATAGGGAGAACTCAAAAGAATCATGTTAGTCTCTTTTTTTTTTTTAAGGTTAAATTTTCTAACCCTTATTTATTATACGACATTTTTATTTAACTTTATAAAAGTTTTTTGGTAATATGAGAATGATTGTCTTATCAAAGCTTAATGTTTACTTTCAAACAAAATGTATTAAGTGCTTAACCTAAAGGGGTGGCGTGTGTTCGAATAGGTTAATCCTTCATTATTTATTATATTTAAACCACCTTAAGGTCATTTACTCATTTGTGGCTTACCTTAGAACATTGAACTTATAAGATGTTCAATAAACTTTAGGGATTAATTGAAGTATTCGTAAATGGTTGAATAATTGATCATCATGGAAAAAAATAAGTATAAGGGTTTTCTAAAAGATTGGTGTTATTTGTTTGGGTATAAAATGAGTTCACATTTAATGTTTATAAATGATGTAAAAAGTACAAAGTGTAACATTAGTCCTGTTTCAAAACAAAAAGGAAAGTGCTTATAAATTGTACATTTGTACTTGGTACTTGTGGGTAAAATTTAAAATCGTGGTAGTGAGAAGATAAGAAGAGGGGAGCTATAATCAGAAGCGGCTAAGCAAAAGCACTTTCGGAGCAGCTTGGGTGGTCCCAACCAAACAGAGCTTTGGCTTTTAAGGCATTTTCCACGAATTTCTTTCCACCCCACGTGTTCGGTGCCGTGCCACCCAGTCGCGGACTCGCGGCCATCCTAACCCACATGAATGAGATAAATAAGTCCAAAACTTTGAATTTTTCTTGGAAAAGTGCTTTTAGATGACAGGTAATTTCTTTTTATAAAATAGTAAAACTTTGTTTTTTCTCTAATTTTTAAGAAATACATCAAGAAATGACATATTTTGATAAATAAAAAGGTAAAGAAAGCATTTCATAATTGTTTCTCTACAAAATCTTGTGACCATAGCTTCATAAAGGGAAAATAAACATAATTTTCTTTTCATCTATATATTTAAGAAAAAAAAAATCTTAAATCTATAATAGTATTTGAAATCTTCATTTATTGTCCACAAAAAAAGATAATAAACTATAAAATCATATATTGGGCACAAATTTGAGATTAATACATCGGAGTTGTTATATTGTATTTCCTGAGCAGTGTTAATTGAATAAATCTCAACATTCCTTAATTTATTATGTAATGTAGAAGACCAATAGTGTCTATAGAACAACAATATAGTGGAAAGTGGAAACTCCATTATGTGGGTGGCGCTATGAATATGATGATTTCTACAAAAATCAAATTAATTGATATGCAGCTGAGCTTATCAGTTACCGTCATCAATAACTAATAAATTGGTCTTCCATGTCTCAGACCATTTTAATATCAGTCTTGAAGCTTCAGGGATGACAAAGGCCGCTCAACAACATTCTTGACCTCCCCAACAAAGTCAATTTAAGAAAAACAAACCATGTGGTCAGCTCAACCTGGCAATTTATTGTTAAATGGTGATTACAGAAAGTCTTGATCTCATCGATAAATTGAAAACGGAGGCAAGAAGTAAAGAGAGAAAATGATAGGAGAAATACATCGATGAAGGAAAAGATAAGAACATATAAAACAACCATTTGCTGAAATGCAAGCATTTGGAGCTTTCAACTGGGAACCTTTTCATGTTTGCAACCTGATAAATGGAACATTTATATATCCTCAACGCCTTCCAGATGCTACAGACTCTGCAGAGAAGAGATTTTTCACTCGTGAAAGAATTGAATCATGAGCAGGGTCGTATGGATGGTCCTTGGAAGGAATCTCCAAGATTGCTGGAATTGGCTTATTGTAGCTATCAACTAAGAACCTTATCATGTTTGCTACCTGCAAGCAATAAGAAAATTTAAAGTTTGTAAAGAAAAATTTCTTGATTGACAACAAATTTGAAGACAAATTGTAATTATCTAACCTATTATGAACTGGCTTTTCAATCATTTATACCCACCTTCAATCATATTATGTACTATAAAAGTGTATGTGAAAACTTACATATTGGCTGATTAATACAATAGCAATATCCTCCTTTGTTGTAAACTCTTTGAATGCGTCTTCAATCGCTTTCACCGTTGTTTCTGAGCAGAAAATATGAAGACAATTAGCACATGAAATCAACATCAATAAACTTTATTTTGGCAATTGACAGGAGTGATGGAATTCCAACTGAAATTTCACTGATTAGTCTGATTAGAACACAAAATCAATTCTCTCATTTATGAGACTTGTGATGATATGACTTAAAACTAAAATGAGCCCATTCCAAGTAAATGAAATCTTTTTAGGAAGCAAAAAACATACAAACCAAGTTTCTTTTTCTTTTTCCTCCACATTACCAAACCAAGACCCCGATTGTCCTTTGGGCCTAGACACAGAGTCCCACCTAAAAAAGTCTCACTTCAATCTTCATGGACATAAGCCTTAGATTTCATGGAGGACTCCAATTGGAAAATATGACAAATAGAACTAAAAATATACCAGAAATTAATGCCCGGAAAAGATTCATGAACTTGCCAACTTTCTATGTCAAAACTATTTGCCTAAATGTTTCACAAGATGACAAGAAATATGGTTTACTCTCCAAAAAGCTTAAGTTTTCATCTTTCAGCCCCAACCTCAACTTTCTTCTTCAAGTATCACTCGGTAAGTTGGTCATAATCTCTTAAAAACATGTTAAAGAGAAAGCAAATCTGAAGTTTAAGAAATGGAAAATCTATACAAGCAGATTTTTTATTTTAGTGTGTACAGGCTTCATATAAAACTGCACAAAACTCATCATAACAAAGCAAGGTAACACATTTAGCCATAACAAGGCCCATGAACATACTTGAATCAACAATAAGGTAGTTTGTCTTTCTCCGCAGGTCAACATTACCAACACCGGCCAGCAAAAATCCAGTAATAGTATCCTACATGATTGAAAAAAAAAAAAAAAAAAAAATCATCTTAAGAGTCTTCCAGAGACGCAAGTTTAATTCATATGGTCTAAATCAGTACAGGCAGCATTATACTTATGTAAACCCATCTGAGGATCATAAAAAGTAAGGGGAATTTTACATGTGGGAATGAATGAATATAAAAATCAACTATTTTCAGACATTCTAAGGCAAAGCACCACAGAAAATTCATGAAAACTATACCAATTATGATACCTTTCCGTGTCAAGGATCATCTGATCCACAATTGTCACACATCAACAATGTTCACAAGTGTCTGACACATTTTAACCCTCACAAAAAACCAACCATTATTTAGTCTATTATTCTTAGAAGCTCAAGGACACATTAATTCATATTCTAACTAGCGCTTTTTTTTTTTTTTTTTTTTATTCGCTACCTAAAAAGACATGTTTGGGAAGGCTGGAACGGCTCCACATTACCAAACCACGCCCCCTATCACTATATTGCCATTTTTCTTATAACTCATACTGTTTTTCTGTCCTGTATCATGTATGTAAAAGACTTATGCTTTATCCAATACAACAGTGCATCAAGTATGTCTTAGACTTAAACCAGTTGTCACAAGAAACACCCATGTCTTCTTTAGAATGTGAAACAACACCCAAATCAACAGATCATATCATTTTATTAAGAACATCAAAAAGAGAAAAAGACAGGATCATCATCATCATCATCATAGCCCCTCCCATTATCTATCCTAAGATGAAAAGAAAAATTAAAGTTACATGTTGATGAGGCATAAAAATATATTCTCGTAATTTTGAGGAGTCGTGAACTTAAGGCCCCACAAATTGCACCCCTAAATGAAATAAGTATAAAACTAAGCCACTAGTATCACCAAGCTGTGTTAGATGAACACTTTGACAGTATGAAGCGGCACTGTCAAACACCAAATAAATGCAGAAACATGTGATCCATTTGCCTGAGCATACTAATCAGCTCCTAATGTCACCATTAGAAAGTGGCAGAGACAATTAACAAGCATGAAGTAATTGACACATTGATATCGCTCTTTGATTGTGTACTGGAAAAAGTTCCCTTGCATAACTACACAAACTGAAAAAACAAACTCATGAACTGATCTCTACGATAAACTATTATCAATTACCTCATCAGCAATCATGGCAATAAGTGCTGAGTTGTTAGTACGGATTTGAGCTCTTCCAGCCATTTAAAATTTATATAATTGAACTGCCAGAAGAAAACCAGAAAACAAAAAAATCAGAAACAAACAGGAAATCTTATGAGTAAAAGAAAAATATTAAAATGATATAATCATGAGCTCTGAATCCCTACCTCCCGATATTTACCTAGACAGAGATTTACTTAAACAAACCACTTAAATCTTTTCACTAAAACTTTATTCATTCTCTTCCGTGACCAAATGTATCAAGCATGCTAATAAGTTAAGTTACTAAGTAAACAGACTGAAATCCAAATAGTGATAATCACAACATGCATAAACAAATAAATAAATGTGCTCAATACCAGAAACTTAAATATGAAAACTCCACAAACAAGTTCATCTCAACTTCATACATACCCAATCTTCCATTGTTTCATATGAAAATTTCCCGTCATTTGAAACCTCTAAAAGGGTCAAAAGCAACATCATAAAGTTTAGTTGTACTAATATTCAAGCAAAAACACTACTAACCCACCTTATAAAAACTGCTTCTAAATCCTGAAATCCTCATATCTATATCTTATGATTAGCATCGATATATTAAACATATAAAGTGCAATTCTTTCCCGTAATAACGAAAATAAAATCAAAATCCCAAATTGAGTCACTCAGAAGACGATCATGCTCCAGATTCACTATAATAACACATCTTTTGAAGCTCAAATCATGGCACAATAATTAAACAAAATCCTGAATTGGATTGTCTGAAGTTTTCTTAGAAAGGAAAAGCACAAACCTGACAAGTTGTTTCTCGGTCTTTCAATTTCTCGATCCAAAGTTGCAGAAGGGATCAAATTGTGAAGGTTCAGCAGCCATACTGGTGGATTTGTGCGTTTCATATGACCCGAATACGAACATGATCGGATTTTTGATCGATCCAGCCCAATTGAATCTATCTAGGTTCAATTAAGTCCAGCCCATTTTTTCTTTCCTTGTGAAACATTTTTCTTTTAAATATAGATGAAAACGCTTTTTTGTTTATTTTCTTTTATTTTTATGATGGAGAGTCAGGACTAATTTACAATTTACATGCATTTCAACCAATTTTTATGCAATATATTTTTCAAATTAGTTGTTAATCAATAATAATCAACATTGTGAAGCTATATAACATCTATTTTATGCATGTAAGTTGTTTCTTCACATATTCAAACTCGTCAATGAGATAGACGGTAAGAATTTAGTTATGTCTTAGGATTTTACGATATTATCATTATCGTATAAATATAGGGAGAACTCAAAAGAATCATGTTAGTCTCTTTTTTTTTTTTAAGGTTAAATTTTCTAACCCTTATTTTATATTATACGATCATTTTTATTTAACTTTATAAATAGTTTTTTTTGGTAATATGAGAATGATTGTCTTATCAAAAGCTTAATGTTTACTTTCAAACAAAATGTATTAAGTGCTTAACCTAAAGGGGTTGGCGTGTGTTCGAATAGGTTTACTCTCTTCATTTATTTCTTATATTTAAACCACCTTAAGGTCATTTACTACATTTGTGGCTTACCTTAGAACATTGAACTTATAAGATGTTCAATAAACTTTAGGGATTAATTGAAGTATTCGTAAACTGGTTGAATACTTGATCATCATGGAATAAAAAATAAGTATAAGTGTTTTCTAAATGATTGGTGTTATTTGTTTGGGTATAACATGAGTTCACATTATAATGTTTATAAAATGATGTAAAAAGTAACATAAGTGTAACATTAGTCCTGTTTCAAAACAAAAAGGAAAGTGCTTATAAATTGTACATTTGTACTTGGTACTTGTTTGGGTAAAATTTAAAATCCGTGGTAGTGAGAAGATAAGAAGAGGGGAGCTATAATCAGAAGCGGCTAAGCAAAAGCACTTTCGGAGCAGCTTCGGGTGGTCCCAACCAAACAGAGCTTTGGCTTTTAAGGCATTTTCCACGAATTTTCTTTCCACCCCACGTGTTCGGTGCCGTGCCACCCAGTCGCGGACTCGCGGCCATTCCTAACCCACATGAATGAGATAAATAAGTCCAAAACTTTGAATCTTTTCTTGGAAAAGTGCTTTTTAGATGACAGGTAAATTTCCTTTTTATAAAAATAGTAAAACTTTGTTTTTTTCTTCTAATTTTTAAGAAATACATCAAGAAATGACATATTTTTGATAAATAAAAAGGTAAAGAAAGCATTTCATAATTGTTTCTCTACAAAATCTTGTGACCATAGCTTCATAAAGGGAAAATAAACATAATTTTTTTTTTTCATCTATATATTTAAGAAAAAAAAAATCTTAAATCTATAATATTGTATTTGAAATCTTCATTTATTGTCCACAAAAAAAGATAATAAACTATAAAATCATATATTGGGCACAAATTTTGAGATTAATACATCGGAGTTGTTATAATTGTATTTCCTGAGCAGTGTTAATTGAATTAAATCTCAACCATTCCCCTAATACCTAAAAACTGTACCATAAGTAGTTGAGACCTATTAATAATAGAAAGCTAGAGAGATTATCACTAAGGTTGTGTTTGCTCAAGTCAAGACTATTATATTATTGGGAATATCATAGTAATTGAGAGACAAATTATTTTAAAGATTATTGAGAATATTTAGAAAAATATGTTGGGTTATGTTGAAAAAAATTAGAAGGTATGTTATATTGATATATTTGGTTGGGAGAAATAAATAGGTGGGTATGTAATATAGATTATTAAATTACCCTCATTTTTAAATATTATTTTTATTATTATTTTTTGAATCATTTCTTTTAACCCCCTATATTTGAGATTTTGCTAAAACACTTCAGCAACATAAAAGTTTAATTTCTAATAAAATCATTCCACCCACCCTAAGCCATAGCCGCCCCCTGACAGCAGTGACAAGAGCAATGCACAACCGATTGGATTTAGCCGTTGGTGCATCGATTTGGTCATCGTTAACTGCTAAAATCAACAGATCTGGCTAAAAACACCAGATCAACGCATGACCAACCAGTTTGAACCAGTCGTGCACCGGTGGTGGTGGCCATATCCCATCACCAGTCTTGGGTAATTTTTTTCAAGTTCAAGGGTATTTATGTCCTAAAAATTTTGTTTATAAAGATAAAATAGTTCATAAATTGTTTTCAAAATAAAAGCATTATTATCCAAAATTTTTAATAGTTAACAGTAAAATTGTAATAAAATTAAGATTATAAAATAATCTTAAAATACCTAAGAAAATAGTAATATCCAGATTACCTCCTATATAACCAACTATAATTACTATTGGTTTTGAAAGATTATTAGAATCTTAAATTATTTATTAATCAATCATGATAATCTAACTAATATAAGATAACTTAGCTCAATAATCCGGATAACACCCAACCAAATGCCTCCTATGGTCAAAATTATGTTTATTTTTAAAATGTTAATCATAAAACCTTAAACTAAAAAATTATAAAATAAAAGGGAAAAACTTATTAAAATTATTAGATAAAATTAGGTTAACGTGGTGGTTAGTGATGAGTTTTATAAAATCTAGGCTCATTATTGATAAGGGTAGCGTACTTAGGTTTATTAATATAATATAGGGGTGGTTAATGAATAATTATTTATATTATTTTTTATCACATGATTAATATGGAAGGAATCTGTGGAGGAATCATATCTTTTCTTAATGTGAACGAAACTACAAAACAAAATTATTTTGTTAACAATAGGAAAATTATTTATTGTTAATTTTGACAAAAGCAAGTAGGTTCATATTTGAAGTAAACGACTTTTTCCCACGCAAAAAATAGCTTAATAACACTTCCCACCTTTAAACTTTTAAAATACTGCTTTTCCACTCAAAACACAAATCTGTTAGTAATTTTTATTGTGAAAAAGGGTAAGATGGTCAAAACTAGTTAAAAGGAAGGGCAAAATAGTCATATTATCATTTTAGCCAGAAACCTTTCCAAACCGTAACTGCCGATTTAGGCGGTTTGACATGATTTTAGCGCTGTTGATCAATGTCGACTTCACCCTCAGCTTCCCCATCATTCACTCACAAAAACCCTTCACTTTCCCACCACACCGAGCACGCCAATCGCTGGTCTTTTTCTTCGCATGACCGTTGAGCTACCAGGCCAGATTCCGGTCGATTTGGTTGCCGAAAATTCCACTTGAGCCACTTGCAACATCAGAAACACCTCCTCTCTAAAAGCCCCATCATCCTAAACCTTGGTTGTTCACTATTCATCTGACGCCAACCATTCAACAAAAGGACTAAACCACTGTCATGGGCAATTGGAGAGCTATCACAGTCCAAATTGTTAGGGCTATTGAAGAGGAATGACCGATGATTCGTTTGATGGTAGATGGTTAGATTGTGATGGTTGGAGCATTGTTTTTAAAAATTGGACTAGAGGGCAACCCACTCTGATGGTCGGGTCATGGTTCAACCGGTCCAACCAATTGGACAGCCGGTTGAACCGATGGTTTAACAGGTTTAAAATCTAACAAAAACACCCCTGATAAATACCATCAGACCAATGATTCGTTTGATGGTAGATGGTTAGATTGTGATGGTTGGAGCATTGTTTTAAAAACTGGATCGGAGGGCAACCCACTCTGATGGCCGGGTCACGGTTCAACCGGTCCAATCAGTTGGACCGCCGATTGAACCGATGGTTTGACAGGTTTAAAATCTAACAAAAACACCCCTGATAAATACCATCAGATCCTATAGGTTTGAAATCTAGCAAACACAACTTTGGCCAAATGTAAATCGGCAATTGATTGGGAGAGCAGCGACGACACACCAGGAAGGGTAGATCGGATGATGGGGAGGGCGAATCGGCAGCTAGCAAGTAGAGGCATCGCCGAAAAATGGCAGATCGGTGGTGGAAGTCAATGGTCGCGGTGGCTTTTTTTGGTGAGATGACTGGATCTTCGTGAACGACAGTAAGGGAGATTGGGAGAAGGTAGATCGGTGGCTGAGGAAGCCTGTCGATGCCGGAGAAAGCCGATCGACGTCGAAAAATGGAAGAAAAATCACGCGGCGAAGGTGGATGACGAAACATCACGCGGCTTGGAGATGAAGCGTGACAGCGCCGGAGAAAGTCAGAACTCAGAGGGTGGTTTTTGACAGTAAGGGAAGGTGGAAGGTCGCCAGAAAAAGGGAGGTCATTGCCGATTTGCATTTGGTCAAAGGGTGTGTTTGCTAGATTTGAAACCTTCAGGGACTGATGCGTATTAATCAGGGATGTGCTTGTTATATTTTAAACTTGAAATAGTTAAAAATAGTGACTCGACCCGGAGAAGGCCCCGGGTCTCGGTCCGGTTTTTAAAACAGCGGGTTGGCGTTGATCAGAATCACATGCAAAAGTTTAATTTGCGGTGGCTGGCAATTAGGGATTGAAATTTGGTGAGGATATTTTTGTCTTTGCAATCAACATTATTGTATTTAAAGAGAATTATCAACGGAATTTGTGTTTTGGGTGGGAAAGTGATATTTTAAAAGTTTCAGGGTCCAATGCATTAAATCATTTTTTGGGTGGGGAAAAGTCGTTATCTCCTGCATATTCTAAAGACTTCTAATTGAATTGGATCACATCTCTCTGAATAATTGTTTATAAAAATTCTTGGAAAAAAGAAAAAAACAAAAAAAAAAAAAAAAGGGTTTCTTTTCTCATAAAAATGAATGAAAACAACACAGTAATATATATGGTAATAGGCTACAAGCTTTTGTGGCCGTGTAATTTGTCTGCTCTGTGTGTGGTGTGTGTGTGTGTGGTGTGTGTGTGTGCGCAAGTGTGTTGGGTCTATATATAGCACGCAGGAGCAAGTGTTAAGAGCGCTTCATTCACTTCTTTATCTTTTATCTTCTTCACATTCTCTCTGCATTACCTTCTTCATCTTCTGTC